AAATAACATTGCATCCTATGGTGCCTATTCACATATGTCCGGTGCACTGGCTGCACAGATTGAAAAAGATTCCTGTTCGATTTCTGAGCAGTGCAGTCTTGTTCAGGTGCAGATTACAGGCCATTGACTTCTATGGGAACCACTTATAAATCACACATGTCATCAGTTGTGAACAGGATTTCAGTTTCCTCCCCCCTCCTCTCCACCTCAGCAAAACCAAAAAAGCCTTGCAAAACTGCATCCAAACTGGCCCTGAACAGTGAACAGTACAATCTGCAGCTGTGTCACAAAAACTGGTCCTGAATCTGCCTTGAACTTCTGAACACTTAGATTTCAATCTGCACTGAAAGCGGACCTTGAAATCCAGAATGCACATGTGTGAATCGGCATTTACTAAAGATGGACTTCCACGTTGATGTAGCAGTTCAACAATTTTTGATCACTTTGTTTGAACAGTGTCTCTTAAAGGATACATTCATCTTTGTAACATGTAACATCTGTATTTAGGGTTTAATATGTAACATTGATGCACCTGCCTACATTCCCCCAATCCCTCACTATGGCAGCAGGCGGGGGATCCTTCCCAGCACCTACTGCCACAATTTGAAAACAGCTCAGCTGTGTGGGGGCTCCACCTACAAAGCTTCATTATTCATTTACAGAGTTCTGTGAATGAATGAACATCAAGTACAGTCTGCCCTGTTTGCCACTGCGGCAGACTCTCAATGAACTGCTAGGGCACTGGTGAACACTCTTGTAGTTCATTGATTCTTCCTGAACTTCAGTAACTGTCTTCCCATATGAGAGGTACAGGCAGACAGCTGAGAAATCTCCAGGATCCTGGAATTGCACCCATGATCTGCTGATCGCAGGTGCAATGCTTTACAGGCTGAAGCGTACAAAATTAATAAATGCATATATTTTTACCTGTAGAATCATATGCATTTATTTATTTATTTTTTTAAAAAGGTGAACTTTATACTTTACATAGTAGTATTTATACCTAAGGGTATCACCAACACATTAAAGTTTAGTTCACTTATTCTTTTCTGCCCTCTCCATTCCCACCCCCAACACCTTAACTTAATGTCATGCTTATCTGCAACTCTACTTCCCTGAGTGTCCCTCTCCTCTTATTTTTCCTCTCCTTTTGTCACAAACATTTACATGCATACAGCCTCATATACGACCTTACATATGGCCTCGAGTCCACATTTGTTTCAAATGTTGGTATACACAGCTATATGCTGTGAAAAACAGACCTGTGTGCATGGTCCATTAGGATACAATAATGATGGGTTAAGATCTGTGTAAGTTACAAATCTGAACACAAACAATAGTATACCTGCATGCATGTGCCTTATACTTTCTCTGTTATGACTTTTCAGGATGAATTGCTCCTCAATACCCACAGCTACATAGGTCAGTAAGGGCTTGTTGTAATACTTATTAAATGTTGGTTAAGAATATTCAAATACTTGAATGCCCATAGCCTGCTCAGAGGTTAACTTCAAAGAGGAACTTAACTTTTCTTGAAAAATGAAGTCAGCAGCTACAAATACCATGGCTGCTGACTTTTAACAAACTTGTACTTACCAGCCCATGGAGTCCAGTGATGTCTTAACTGGAACCAGGCTTTACCGGGCTTCAGATCTCCAGTGACACCATCTTGGATGTAGGAATCCACTGTGACTTCCTAATGTCCCACAGCTGGCTCCCCACTGCACATATATGAGGTTGCGCAGCACTGTGAGATTGTCCTGCAGCCTCCTGGTACATGCGATACTGTATATCCCAGGAGGCTTTGGGCAGGGGGAGGGAGGGTTAAATCAACGTCATCCTTACACAAGCGAAGATAGAGGAAGTGGGAGCTAGTGTTTGTCAAAAGGTACCTGACTCCCCCCAAAAAAAAAACTCACTGCCGAGTTAGGAGTCAGTGGGGGGGGGGGGGGGGGGGGTGTAGTAATTACAATTTTGAGTGAAGGTCCACTGTAGGCAACACAGTCATGTCACTTCCCTGCCCCCAGCCTTTGACAAGACAGTAAAGCAATACTCTGAGAAGGTTATCCCTCTGCTTTCTCCTCCTATCAACATGTTGCTTTTCAGCATATGCAAATGCAGGACACTTTCTGGAACCCAGGTACTGTCCCTTCCTCTTCCACTCTTTTTGTAGAGGGTATTACAAGAATTTATTTACTGAATAATATTATTTTTTTATAGGCAGTGTCCAGGTAAACTAAACTCACTCTGACTTTCTAATCTATGTAATCCAGGTCAGTGACATAAAAGTTGTTAAAGCAGTTTTAAGTCCCAAACAAAAAAATGTAATATATCACAGCTTACCAAACATTAGACATGATAGCAACATTAGTTTTCTTTTTTTAGACTCTTTTCCCTCTATTTTCACCTGGTGACCTGGCTAATAACACACCTCCTGTGTTAGAATGCCCCCAGTCAAGATGAAGGTGCACAAGGGGCACCTTTGAACAGCAACATAGTCCAGGGGAAAGGGGGGGTGTTAGATATATACTAATGCACTAAAAAAAATTAAGCCAACCTCCAGCTAACATTTTATAAGCAGTGACATTAAACAGTCCTTTTTTTTTCCTTTTGGGATAATGGTTTTACATAAATAAATAGCAGCTGATCAATGTAAGCACCCCTGCCAGTGCTAAATGGTTTGTCTTATCTCTGTAACACATACATCTGCAGAAGAGCTTGTTCTGTTGAAAACAACAGACTTGCCTGGATCACCAGATGAAAACAGAAAAAATCAAGTCTAAAAAAGGAAACTAATGTAGCCATCACACCTAGGAATTGATAAGCTGCAGTATAATATGTTTCCTTTTGGGTTTATTACTGCTTTAGACATCATAGACAGCCAGGCTGCTAGTATTTTTAATAGGAGAAGGTAATGGTTGTTCCTATATTTTAGTCATTACAGGATTCTTTGAAATATAACAGAAATGTCCATATTAACACAGCTTCATATATAATTAAAACTAATCTCCATCTGGATTTTAATTAGTTTTAAGTTAAACACCAGTTACTATGGGTATTCTAATATTCTCATCTTGTGTATACCACCAACTCTGCCAGATGTCTAAGTTATGTTGATTATGTTAAATTATTCAGAATTATTCTTGCTTCACACAGTTTAGTAGAATGATGAACAGCTTTCTCACTCTTTAGTTTCTCAAGTCCCCTGCCCTTTAATGATTATTCATTTACAGAGAGTTTCTGAACTTGTATTTGGGACAGATTGCTGCTGTTTATTTGAAGCTAGTCAAGCTTCAAACTATTATGTACTAGCGCCATTTAAGAATAGTTTTAAAAATAAGAAGGGTGTAAAAAAATGACTAGTTGCACATGAAGCAAAATAAATAGACCGTCGGGAATAATAAACTATCGGACTTAGGAAACGTTTGGAAGATGAAATATGCATAACTCCATGCTGCTGGAATACAGCGAGATATTTCTGCAATGCTAAATATTCATTGGGAGAGTTAATAATATTCATGAAGTTACAAAGGGTAGAGCAGATGTTTTTCCGGACTGATTGAGTGGCTGTGTCATGTTTATCCGAATGTTTCCAGAAATGTTATTTAATCAGAATTATGATAACATTTTGGTTGGCAGAAAAATATTTGAACAGAAGACTGATTTTCTGACGTGTTTTAGCAGTTCTAAAAGTACCTTGTGCATTTATTTAAAAAAATATTGGATGCAGTAATGGTTGATAGACATCAGTTAACAGTAGTGCAAAATGAGTAACTCATGGGAGTTAAAGTGTTACTAAACTCACAACAGCAAAATCAGTCTGTATATTCAGTAAAGCATGCTTGTTATACTCTCGGGGGAACCTAAGGGGTTAATCCTCCACATTGTGTAAAAAGGCTGTTTGATCCTGTCTTCTCTGATCATCCCCCTTCTCTTCTGTCCCCAGTCCATCTCCTGATAGAACAGAGTCTTGTGGACAAGCTGCACATGCTCAGTTTGGTGTGTATTGCTAGAAATATTTTTTTCTTCTTCTGAGAGTGCATGTGATCAGCACAGGGTAAATCAGCACTGTCCAGACAGAGGGTCAAGGGTACTGCAGCCTCATAGGACAATCAGGGGAGAATAAAAACTCCTCCTACAAGATTAAGCAGTGCTCTGCTGTACAGTGATAAAGTCACAAGACTGCTCTAACTGCTGATGAGAAAAGGTATTTAGCAGTTTATATTTACTAAAATAATTGCATTTCCATGTTCTGTGTTCTGTAGGAGACCGGATATAGTGAATGCGGGGTAATGAGTTTTGTAACACTTTAATCCTGGGGGTTCCTTAGAGTTACGGCTGACCTTGGCAAGGTTTGTAGATCCAGCGGAAGTGGTAAATTCACCCTAATATATGGAGGGTTTTGCCAGCCTTTTATCAGATTTATGCTCAACCCTGGCCAGCTTTTACTTTTGCTAAGTATCGTTATCTTTTTATTTACTTTTTGCTAGGTTTTGGGTGACTGTATATTATATGGTCCTTTGAATCCCGGAGTCAAATATTTGCTTTCATTGTCCCCTTAAACATCTGCCAGTCCCACAGAATTATGGATACTTGGATAACTTCAATCATATTATGGCTGCCTAACCCAAGGGCTGCAGTAAGTTTAGTCTGATGTGTAGCCTAAATAATACACCTGTAGGGTTGAAATACATTGGTTATATTGTTAATTTGTTTCAGTGCTTAAAGTGGTTGTAAACCCTTACATATACCCAGTGAAGCTACTAGCCTCAGGTGATACACAGAAATGAAACAAATCCTCCTACAAAAGTTGTACCTGTCTATCTGTAGTCTTCTCTATATTTGTTTGAAGTGCCAAATTTAATAAGCTTGTCTGAGAGTTCAGAAAAAGAGTCCGGAGAGCTGAAGTGACACTCTTCAGAGCTCAGTGAGGCGAGCTCTGAGAGCTGATTGGCAGAAAGAGACACCACCCCTCCACACAGCTCACAGGCAGAGGCGCCCTAGGATTGGTGTCACCCGGTGCAGTTACACTACTTGGTGACACCCCCTCCGACGATCCCCGCAGAATGGATCGGATCTGCGGATTGAGCACAATGGATCGGACTCCGATCCGTTATGCTCAATCCGCAGAGCCGATCCATTCTGCGGAGATCGTCGGCTTTCTTTACAACTTACCTTTTCTTGGAGCGGGTCCGGTGTCACCCCGTATAGGTTGCATCCCGACGATCTCCGCATGATCGTTGGCATGCAACCTATACAGGGGTGACACCGGACCTGCTCCAAGAAAAGGTAAGTTGTAAAGAAAGTCGACGATCCCGGCAGGATGGATCCGATCCATCCTGCTGGGATCATCAGCTTGCTTTACAACTTACCTTTTTGTGGAGCGGGTCCGGAGTCACCCCGTGCGGTAGGTGTCACCCGGTGCGGACCGCACCCCCGCATATGCTCGGGACGCCACTGCTCACAGGAACAGAGCTGAAGCTGTCAATCTGCTGGAGGTCCCTCTGCTGTCACCAATTTTCTCTTGGTGTCAGGAAAAACTTGTCATGTTGTGATTCATGCAGATAGCAGAGGAACAAAGCAGCAGTCGGAAATGACACTTAGTGCTCCATATTGAGACAAATATACACTATAGGGGGATCTGTTTTGTTCATAATTCATGTCTGAGATTTACAACCATTTTAAGGCGCCACCTTCTTTGCCCTCACACCTGCCTCAGGGGGATATATTGCTTGTCTCTGCCAGCACATCCTCCCTTGTGGTTGTGGACCTGCAAAAGGTTTGGTGAGCTTGATTTGTAACTGTATTTATGAATTTATATAATTTGTGTGTACATTTGTATATTCTTGTATTCTTTGACTTCTAGTTTTAATTGCCCTTCCCACACTTCCTGAAGAAGTGGGGAGACCCAGAAAATGAGTTGAGATGTTGTACCCACATTAAATACACCCCAAGCAGACTTTGGAAGTCTTTTGACTAAATCCCAACATTTAATTGTTCAAAAACAAAGGGGGACTGTTTTTTCATGGGTAACAAAGGGGGACTGTTTTTTTTTCATGGGTAACTCTATAAGGGAGGCACTATCAAATTTGTGCGCTTTATGTAAAATAATATTATTTTGTTTTCAACTAATTGTAATAAAAGTATTTATTTTGTGTCCTGGCACTTGAAATGTCTATCTTTCCTTTCTAAAACAATACTTGGACTACCAGGATGTGGTGCCCTTAGTAACTCCTCCTTTTTATATAACTTCTATCAAATAACCCAGAAAAGACCAGCCAAAATGATGATCCATTCCCATCTACTCAATTGTCAGAGCTCATTCAAATCTTTCTGTTCAGGTGGGTTAATGTGTGTTATGTTGTGCGTTAAGGACTTAATTACACTTGTGCCCAGTGGAGCAGCAAAAATAGTTGGTCGAGTCAAGGTTTAACCCCTCTCTGACTGCCCACCTTAAGCTAATATGGCTTTGCAATTCAAAAATTATAGCACATGTCCCATTTGGCAGGCAGTACCACCACCAAATGCAATCCACCAGATTGATTTCAGAGGGGTGGCAATAAACAAGCCCTATGTGTTAAGACAGCCTTTACATTTTATTGGGTTTCCAACACACCAGAATGGACCAGAAAATGGTCATACACCATTTTTAGAAAAGCAACAAACCACAATGTACGGCATTGCGTTACTGTTTGGTGCACTACAACACATGTGTGTTTTCTAATGTGGGTATAGTGTGTTGTGGTAAGAATTAAGTGTGAATGGGCCCTTTTTATTTAGTTAAAGCAAAATCCTACTTTTGACCCTAATGCACAGCTGACTTAATGAATGGGCACATCTGGGCACTGCCCAGGGGCCCCCCAGTGCATGCGCACCCCATGATCAGGGCCAGGACAGGGGGGTGCTGTGTTGGGGAGTGAACAGGCGCTTTGGCCGCTTCTGCTGCTCCTCCAGGAGTAACTGCAATATCACCTCCTGTGAGTATCTCCTGTCAGAAGGTGCAATGGATGGCTTTTGCTAGAGAGGGTTCAGTTTTCTCTCTTCCTTCCTGAAGGGGGCAGAAGAAAGCCTGCACTGAGACTGAGAACTCACCTCAGTCTCAGCATGGTACAGGAAGTAGAAGCTATCTTCATTGCAGATGGGGACAGCTTTTGTGATCTGTGAGTGTGTGGGGGGGGGGCATAACTCTGTTGTAAGGGGACATCTGATGGATGAGGAGGACACCTGTTGTAATGGCACACCTGGTGGATGGGGGCACTGTGATGATGACACCCGATGTTTGGGGATACCAGATCGGGGAACTCTGGATGAGCCCTCCGCACACTGCTATATACTCTTTCTAGCCAACTTTGCAACGATAAACAGGGATTTTTAGTTCACACATGTTGCAACAAATGTTTAAGCTAGCGACCTGCATCAAAGTAATCCCTCTATGGCCAATCCTACTCTACTCTGCAAAAGCTACTGTGGACACAACACCAAAATGGGGCAAACAGACACAATGTGGGGGAGAGCTAATAGGATTAGGTCTGGCCTGCAATGCAACATGTACAAGCTATTAGGATTTGAGCACATTTCTGCCTGTTAGATGGGGATACTGTGATTGGGACACCTGAAAGATGGAGACACTATGATGGGGAAGTATGGGGGTGCTGTGATGGGGACACCTGATGGATGGTACACCTGATGAATGAGGGTACTGTGATGAGGCACCAGGTGTATGGAGACATTGTTATGGTGACACGTGATAGATTGGGGCCACTGTGATGGGGGAACCTGATTTTTGGGGACACTGTGACAGCGGAACCTGCTGTATGGTAGTGCTGTGATCAGTACACCTTATGTATGGGCACTGTGATGTGGACACCTGATGCAGGCTGGTAGAGGCTCCAGTGCATTACTTTACCCAAGGGCCCATGATGCTATTAAGATGGCACTGCCATAATGTAAATATATATGAGGACTGCTCCATGTAATAAGTAGTACTCTGAGGTCAGGCTGTGTGAGGAAATTGCCCAGTTGTATGGTCTTTGACAGCTTGAACAGGACAGGGCAGGAAGAATGTGAAAGGTGGTAATACTTGCAATTCAGGAATATATTACAGGAACAAATGCAAAACAAACCCTCCATCCCATGACCTTAGAGAAAGACAAGTCATGTATTTCTTATGACTTTTCAGAGTAGAAAAATCCATGGAACAGCTGAGATAGGAAAACATGGGCAACAGGGCATACCAACCTAGTGTATTACCATAATCAAACAAGTTCAATAATAGGATGTGCACCTATCAGAGCCTTAATCCAATGCAAAAACAACATTCTTCATGGCCAACAGCAGGGTGGTGGGTAGTGAGTGTACAGTATTTTGGATTCCAGCTATGATGTGGCAGACCTGACAATAGCACCAGGCACTGTTATCTCAGTTTTCTCTTCTTAAAGGATCTATGACAGTCTGAGCAGTTAACTTCCTTGCCACTAGGTGGCTCTGTTTCCAATATAGTATAGTAAAAGGGGAAGTGGTAATTGGACTTTAGGCCCCTTTTAGAAAAAAACTAAACTTTAGAAAAAATATATATTTTCTACTTTTGGTTATAAAAAATATCCAACAAGCTCAAGGTTAGTCATAAATTTAGACCAAAATGTATTCTGCTACATGTCTTTGGTAAAAAAAATTCCAATACATGTATGTTAATTGGTTTGTGTGAAAGTTACAGCATCTACAAACTATGGTATATATACTGGAATTTATGCAGCTTATACTTTATGACTGCCTATCACATTTCTTGAGATGCTAAAATGTCAGGGCAGTACAACCCCCCCCCCCCTTCCCAAATGACCCCTTTTTTGCAAAGTAGATACCCCAAGGAATTTGCTCACACATGTTGAGTCCATGTAATATTTTTTTTTTTGCCTCAAATTTTTGGAAAATATTTTTTTTTTCCTTTTTTTAAACAAAGTTGTCACTTTATTTTATTTTTTTCCAGTAAGAACTCATCTATGCGGGCTTTTATTAAACTCTCCAGTATCTTCCCAACTATAGAAGTTAAACTAACAGGTCTATAATTACTTGGTAAAGATTTTGACCACTTTTTAAATATAGGCACCACATTGGCCTTACGCCAATCCAGTGGTACTATGCCAATCATTAAAGAGTCCCTAAAAATTGGAAGCAATGGCTTTGAAATTACAGAGCTCAATTATTTAAGGACTTGTGGGTGTATGCCATGCAGTCCAGGTGCTTTATTGACCTTTTATCTGTCTAAATATTTCTGGATCATATCAATTGTGAGCCAATGTGGGTCAGCTGGCACTGTGTCAATACCATGCCCATTATGGACAAGAAGGTATTTAATACATTTGCCTTCTCTTTGTCCCCAGTCACCCACTCTAGATTATTTCGTAAAGCACCTACATGCTCAGACCGAGCCTTTTTACTATTAATATATTTGAAGAATTTTTTGGGGTTGGTCCTGCTATCTTTTCAATTTGTCATTTGCTTTCAATATTTGCGGCCTTTATTTCCTTTTTGCATATTCTGTTTTATTTTTGTAATGTTTAAATGATAATAGCGTTCCTTCATTTTTATATATAATAAAAGCTCTTTTATTATTATCTATAGCTTTTTTTAACTTTGGCCGTAAGCCACATAGGTTTTATTTTTAGCCTTTTAAACTTGTTGCCCATGGGAATGTATTTTGCAGTGTGTTCACATAATCTTTTTGAAGAACTCACATTTCTGTGATGTGTTCATCAATACCAATATGACCTCCGAAAGGTTTTACCCCCTTTATAACCAGGGCATATTTTACAATTCAGCAATGTGCTACACTGTACCCAACATTATATACTATTTTCACATAAATAAAGCTTTCTATATTACCAAAATTGTGGAAAAAACATGTTTTTCCTAGTTTCTGTCAAAATTTTGCAAACAAATAAGCTTTCTTAATACATTTAGGCCAAAATTTAGTCTGTTGCATTTCTTTTGTACAAATAACCCAACTCAGTGTTTATTATTTAGTCTGTGTAAAAGTTATAGGGTCTACAAACTATGGTATATATTTAAAAATTGATCAATCCTGATGTACTGGTGGCCTATTTCTTGAGATCCAAAAATACCAGTACATTACATATACTGTATGCCCCAAATGACCCCTTTTTGGAAAGTAGACAGTCAAAGATATTTAGTTAGGGGCATGGCAAGTGTTTTGAAGTTGTAATTTTTTTGTCATAACTATTTGGAAAATGAAGAAATTTAATAAAAAGTTTTTTTTCTTCACAATTTTTTTTTACATACTGTCACCAGAGCAGTACAGCATCATCATTTTTATTTTATTTTTTACATAACATCATCAGAGTAGTTCAGTGTCACCATAGTGACACTACTTCTACTCTGGGGAAGCCGGGGAGGTAGGGTGATCAGGGATTGTTTTTACACTGTTACTACTTATAACAGTGGTGATCACTATTATA